TTCTAAACTTAATGTTCCATATCCTTACGTTTTTACATGTTTTGCATATTGAATATGTCTAATTAAAGATTTACATAACCTAGTCAAGGAATGACTATACACTAATTTCTATGTTTACTCCTCTTATGATAACACTGTTCAACATGCACATGTGTGTGTGTGCATGTGTGTGTGTGTGTGTGTTGTAGTTATGTGCACCATGGTTCCTTACAGTGGTGACAGATTGCAGTCTCATAAATTTTGTTTTCTCCTCCTGATGCTGGGCATGGGGATGGCATCATGTGTTTTCCTAATTGTTATTATTACTTTATAAAATACCCAACACTCATTTTCTCTGTTTGAATTGTTCCCCACGGATACATTTCTGTTAATGGGAAACCTGGGTGCAAAGTGTCACCATTGTGGACTTTGTCCATTGCTGCTGTTGAAATGTCCCATTTGCATGGCTTCTTTGGGTGTCAGTCTACCTTCCTAAGTGAACATCATACTTTTGCTGTTGTTTTTAAGTTTCATTGTATGCACATGTGCAACCACGCTGGTAGCAAAGACTCACAGTATGTAATATTGTCATAACACTGAGAATTGTCCCCAAACTCAATGGGAGATTCTGGTCAGAGCTCAGAAGAACAGGAGGCTGATAGAATCCCTGCTGGTACAGACTAGGCTTGGGAGATTTCTGCTGGGAAGGACGGCCTTGGCTGTTGTACTCTAGACAAATGTATGTTATGGCTTGGCAGAAAGTTTTCAGCATTTTGCTTGTATCCAGAGAATTTGCCTAAGACAAATTAAGGGCAGTGGACTAATTAATCTGGCAGAAGAAATTTCAAGGCAGTCTAATGTTGAAGCTGTGGAATGGCTATTGTTGGGGGTTTTAAGCCAGATCTACATTGAGAATCAAGAGCAAAGAGCCCAGCAGGATGATTTAAAATATTGTGAGTTTGGTCTGAAAGGAAGCTCCAGTAAAGTTTTGGACTGCAAAGATAGGGCTGAGATCCCAATTGCTGAGAAGAAACAGAGGAATATGAAAGATGCCCTAAGAGCATCACAAGAAGCAGCAAGTCTCCACCCTTTGCAGGCTCAAAACTGCAAAGGTGAAAGACTTTGTTTGAGGAGACACCTGCAAAGCACCATGATTAAGAATGGCAGCAGCCACAACAGTTTCCAGAATGGTACCAGCACAGAAAATGTGTTCTTCAAAATT